AGAATCCCTGGACTAGAGGAATGTCATGCCCGTGAGCTTGAAGAAATCCTAGCTGTCTCCATCTTAACCTCTGCCCAATGCAAATGACCACTTCACATATGAACTGCATTCTAACTAAACTACTGAGTCAAGGGATTTTAGCAATGCTCATCTCTGCGACGAGCCACTTTTGAGTGGCAGTAGAGAGAAGTAAGTGATGTCTGGGGGGACAGAGGGCAACAGGGGTGTGGGGGGTGCTGAGAGGAGAGATACTCAGCTGAGAGCTGAGAAGCAGGTTCTCTAACACCTGACCCAAACCCAGAAGAGCGGAAGGCTAGGGTGCAGGGAGTGGAGCCAGTCAACCCTGTGTAGGCACCGAGGCAGAAGACGGGGAGCGCTGGGAAGGAAGTGGAGAGGGGGGCTGGTTTGTGGAAGAAGGACTGAAGCCAGATTGAAGGGTTGACCAAGGTCCGCTGAATTTCACAATGAAGCAGGACATCCTTAAGTGTCTTAAAGAGGTCTGCTCCTCCCACGATATATCACAGCTGGTCCAGTAAAGTGGTTTTCCCCCTAAATGGCAGACGGATAGGAAAGCGGGAGAGAGACCACTATCCCAGCTCAGTAAAGAGTTGAAGAATCGAAACCGCCATCCCTTGGTGGTAGCAAGCACAACCAAGAGATGCTGTGTTGGGACACTGGCCTGAGACCCTTTCTGGTGTGTGATAGGTCATTGCCAGGTGTGCATGGGGGGGAGGGACACCTGCGCACCACCCTAGGGTCAGCCCTGGTGCTCTAGGACCATCATCTCCGCCCACAAACACAGGCTGAGCCTCCAACCCAGACTCCATTCCCCTCCGTTTCCCAATCCTCCTCCGTCCTGACCCTCTTCCTTCCTAACTTCCCTTTCCTTCAGCAGCTCCTTCTTCACCAGCGAGTTCCTCCTCCCTTCCTCCCCAGCCATGGATGTCCCCAGCCATGGAATGTCCCATCCCCAGCCGGCAGTGCATGATGAAGAGGCAGTTATTGGAGGTATCATTTCCATCCTGGGTGGCCCATCTGTGACAGGCACAAGGCCTTGGCCAGGGCGACAGTGACAGAGGGGAAAAGATGATCATTACAAGGTCGCGACAGTGAGGCTGTCTCTGCAGCCAGACTTGATTTGGAACAGGATGGGACCCCAGCTGCCACCGCTGAGGAACTCCAGGGCGGCTGGGCTTTTTCTTCTTGAGCAAAGTCACAGAACTGGGCGGTGACTGCGGTAAGCTGTGAACGCACAGTGTCTAAAATCGGCTGTGCCTTTTCTACCCTCCAATCCCTCTAACCCACCTCAGGAGCCCAGGGCGGGTCTCCCAGGGTTACTCAAGAGCCTCTTCTCCAAGCCCCGCCTGCTGCTAGTGTCCACAGGAATTCTGTGAACTGCCCTCTCCTTCCAGCACATTCTCTCTGCCCCTTCTGCATATCCACCCAGTCCCAAGCGACCACCAAAAGTGCATGGCATTTGGAATCAGATCAAACTGAGTCTCAGTTGTCCCATTTATAGAACTGGTCATCTTTCGGTTTTGCTTGGCACAGTCCCCACCCCAGCCCCATTCTGTGATATCCGATGCTTCCTCTTCCCGAGGAGGAGGGATATGTGCATCAGCTGGCCCAATCACACTACCCCCATCAGGACAACCGATTGGCCCAGGGAGGTGCCCATAATTTGAAATGGACCAATCAGAGTCCTTCTCTGGAATTTTTCCATCAGGAGTTGGAGGGAAGGAGTTCTTTCCCCTCTGGGTTTGAGGCTGTAAGAATGAGAACCAGCTTCAGCCTGCGGTCGTGTTCCCTGCTACCTGGGGATGCCCGCCCTTGGGATAAAAGGAAGAAACTAGTGTCCACAGGATAAGGAAGGGCACGGTGACCTGAGTTCCCGCGTCAGCCTGTCCAGGGAGCAGCGCCACCTGGCCCATTGTGCCTGCGATGCTCTGTGATTTCTAGGGGCGAGCACCTTGACGGATGCGGTGGCCCTTACTCGCCCCCAACGTGGTGGCTGTGAGGTTCCAGGAGATCTTCTCCACCAAGCGCTTAGCGAGTGCTCCGGCCATCCTAGGCACTAATATCGCTGTTGGTCCCTGCCACCTTGTCCCCAGCACAGCCCAGCTGTGCCTTCAGCATCCCACGGTGAGTGATGCCTCATCCGTCCCTCCCCCCCCCCTGCGGATCCAGTACCACATTCCTGCCCTTCATTTCTAACACAGCCCGTCCCAGTCCCTTCCCAGTCCCGTCCATTTGTCCCACGCAGAGTCTCTCAGATCGTCCCTTCCTCTTCACCCGGCCTGCCACCGTCGCTGTAGGAGCCATTCCTTCATGTGTTCCACAAGCCTTAACTGGGAACCAGTTATGAGCCAGGTAACACGCACACACTCACTGGGCAGGTCAGTGACCAAAACAGCCACCAGCCCCTGACTCTGCTGTGCTCAGCCCTCCTCCAGAACCCAGCAGCCAAATTGTCCTCAACACCACTCTGATGTCACTCCTCTCCTTAGTGACAATCATTGGCTCCCTGTTTCCTTCCTCATCACATGGGGCACGCCAGCTGGGCGCAGCGCTGTGCTTGCTCAGCAATCCTGAAGGTGGACGATAAGACAGCTGCTCTGTCACTGTGCCAGCTGAGACTCAGAGGGTGAAGTCTATCCCCCAGGGTCACACAACAGCACCAGGATTCACACTCTGACCCCAGAACCTTGACCCCACACTCCTGAGCCTCTCCTGTGCTTCACTAGGGGCCCGCGCCAGCCCAGATCCATCCTATACTCCCCACGACCTTGACGGAAGCTCCTGCCTGTGTGAGGCAAGGGGACCTCCGGGACGGCAGGGCTATGTCATTTCTGCTCACTGAGGTCTGCCCAGCACTGGCACGTGACCTGGCATGGAGTTGGCTCAGCAAGTACCTGTTGATGCTCAGTGTGGGAATGACCAAGGCCCAGGCTTCACTCTGCCGACCTCCCAGGGGCCACTTGAGAATGACCTTCTTTTTTTGTAGGTGGAAAGAAGGAGAAAAAAGTGAAGTGGGGGGAGGGGAGAAAGAAAGAAAGAGAGAGCAGTACCAGAGTATTCCGACATAGAATCTGGCTTTGGAGGGCTGGCTCCATTGCCTGTCTGGTCACCTGTTTGTCCAAGCAGGACACAGTCCCAATGCTGGAAAACAAGTATGAAAGACAGCCAGAGTGGTCCCCAGCCTAGGAAATGCTGTGGCCTGACCTGATGGACCCCAGCCCCCACCACTGACCCCTGGACGCCTCTGCCTCCTCAATCTAACTCAGCCTCAAGGCCAACACCTCCATTCATCCATCCAGTCAGTCAACAATGAGGGCCAGCCCTGGACCAGGCCGGTGCTGTGTCGCTGTAGGAGACCAATGGCACAAAGATCCAAGTCACAGCTCCTGTCTTGTGGCAGCACAACGTTGGGGACAGGGTGACCATGTAAATGGACAGTGACAATGCCACACAGGAAGTGCCCTGCAAGGGGTTACTGTAGGTGCTGGCGTGCATAGAGGCTTTCTGTACCATCTGGAGGGATGTGGAGGCTTTTTTTTTTGGTACCAGGGATTGAATTCAGGGGCACTTGACCACTGAGCCCCATCCCCAGCCTTTTTTTTTTGTATTTTATTTAGGGACAGGGTCTCACTGAGTTGTTTAGCGCTTTGCTTTTTGCTGAGGCTGACTTAGAACTCATGATCCTCCTGCCTCAGCCTCCTGAGCTGCTGGGATTACAGGTGAGTACCAAGAGTGTGCGGATTCCTTGTTCACGATGCTGTAACGCTGCACTCCACAGAGTTGTTCCTGGTGCTGGTTAATGTTCAACACTCACAGAAATATCAGGCCATGCCTGAGCTTCAGTGTGACAGAGATTTTTTGTCCCTTATAGAGAAGAAGACTTTGGAGTCAGGGAAATCTGGGTTCCCATCTCAGCTCTGCAATATTGGGCATGTGCCCACTCGGAGCCTCAGTTTCCTTCTCTGCCTTGTGGGGTTGTAAGGACTAAATGAATAGTGCTCCTTGCCTTCCTGTCACAAGCCAACAGTCAGTGGAGGGTTCTGCTCAAAGACCTGAGACCCCGATGACTCATGAGACCTAACAGAACCTCAACATTCAAGAGACTCAAAGGGGCACCATGGCTTCCTATCACCTTCATACCATGTCCCCTGCTGTCCCGAAGCTTAGTGAAAACGAGTTTGAATTTGAGTACAGATAAGATTTGTTTATTTTAAATTATTTAGTTATTTGGTGTTGGAACTTACCAGGCAAGTGCTCTCCCACTGAGCTGCACCTCAGCCCCAGGTGAGTTTTTCCACAGCACCAGCAAGCTACAGGAAGGAGGCTAGGAGCCACTGTGCAGACCCTGGTGGCTTCCTGCCCCCTCCCAGGGCTTCCTGTCATTGCTGGACACCCTAACCTCACCTGGCTTCTCTCCTCCAAAACCCTCTGCCAGGCCTGCCTCACCACTGATGATGCCACCTCCTTGAGTTCAGGGAAGAGAGCAGGACTTTGGGGACCCCAACCCTGGGTTCCACCACCAGTGCCCCTTATGACCTGGGGAAAGTCCTGCCGCCTCTCTGGGCCTCAGGTTCTTCATCTAAAAATGGGCATAACACCTAGATGAGGGGGTGGGAGCTGAGGACTTGCTCCATCCCCAGGAGGCCTCAACAGGTGCCAGGCGCAGGGAGCCTCCTCAGGCATTCGCCCTTCCTTCCCAGCGCCCTGGACGGCAGATGGTCTTGATTTAGGGGCCTCCCTTCCTGCGACCCTCCTGCCCCACCCGAGTCCTCCAAGAGGTGACAGACGAGGGATCAGTTCTCCAGTCATGTTTACGCATCCTACCACAGTCGGGGACAGAAGGCAGGGAGGGACTGGGAGGCCCAGGGAGGGACTGGGAGGCCCAGCGCCGTCTCCCTCCACCTTCCTGGGCGCCCACCCTGCGTGTCCTCCCCTGGCCCCCGCCCAGGCTGCCGAGGAGGGGCCCCAGCGGCCGCCCTTACCCGAGAAGATCCTCCCGTCCCGGGTGAGCAGGGCGGCCCCCACCGGGAAGCGGCTGTAGGGACAGTAGGCGGACTTCTTGGCTTCCTGGGAGGACAGCAGCAGCCGCTGCAGGTGCTCAGGCTCCAAGGTGCAGGAAGGGCGCTCTTGGGCCATGTCGTCCGCCGTGGGCGCTGGCTGGGGCAGCGGAACCGAGAACTGCTCGCAGTCTGTGCCGGGACAGCCGGAGGGTGGCTCCTCCCCCGGGGTGTGTCCCTGCGCGCGGAGCCGGCGGCTCCAGGCTTGCCGGACGTGGGCTGTGGGGCAGGACCGCGCTGGGGAGAGGAGCCTCCCCCTTGTTTAGCTGAGAGGGTGTGGCGCCTGTCCCAGGGCGGAGGGGTGTGCTGTGCCCCTGTGCGCCTCGCTCTCGCTCATCGGGACCCCCTGTCTGCTCACACACTGATGGATGAGGGGCGAGGGCCTGGGACAGTAAGAGTGGGTCAGAGGGTGGGTGTCATTCTGTAGGAGGTGACTGTGGCACACTTCTCAGGTAGACTGTTGGTGGGTTAGTGTGAGAGGTTAGATGTCAGAGCTCCTCTGCTGAATGACTTTTTCTCTCTTTCACTGAGGGAAAGGATGAAACTGAAAGGGCAGGGCTGGGGCAACCACTGGGAGTCAGGAGTTACAAAAAGCAGCGGTAAGATTAAGGAAACTATTATCTCAGCTGGAGGGAAACTTGGAGATGATCTACTCAGGCATCCTCATTTTTTTTTTTCCTTAGCAAAAAGGACATTCGAATTAGTGGTAAAGGAAATGGGTTTGCATCCTGACTCTATCACCAGTGAAGTCCTGGTGTGGACCCACTTTGTGACTCTACTAAATCCAGCTATTTCCGTTAAGCGACTTGGCAAAAACCCCAAAGGAAGGGCAAATCTCCAGCTAAGGTGGCCAAAGTTGTCCCCAGATGTCCAGCAGAAATGAGTGAATCAGAGACTTCTCTGAGGGATGGGATGGAGTCTTAGATGGGGATGGGGGAAATTAGGGGACAGGCACGGGCAGTGAGGCTGGTGTCTCTGTTTCCTGGACCTGACACTCTCAGCCACAGAGATAGAGGTGAACACCTGGGAGCCACTGTAGAGACTGGTAGAGCTTGCCTCATCCCCTACGCCTGTCCTCTCTGTGCCAGGCCCCCTCCCCTTCTGCCATGCACAGCCTTCAGAGAGGCAGCTACATCTCCCTGCTGGGGTCGAGGCCCTCAGCCTCCAGTTGCTCATTCCTATGAGATCTGGAACCTTCATGTGGGAGCAGAGGCTTGGATCTCCTGTCTCGGGACAAAGCATGTCCACTAGACATGGGAGGTTTGGGGCCAGGTTTCATTAGAGCTGGGAAAATGAGGGTGCCCTGCTGGCCTGGCAGGCCCCCAGAGTCCTCCATGGATTGTCCTGCCCTGGCCTGAGATTGGATGTATTTCCAGTGAGATGGATATTATTAGGGGTCCAAAGCCCTCCCTGACCCTACCTCATGCCATCCCCTCTGTGAGGGAATCTTCCAGAATCTGCAGGTCAGAGTCTAGGCACCATCCACCCCCTTTTTACTCAATGCACAGTTGTAGTAGAGGCTGACGTTAATATAGTTCTATCTGTGTGCCAGGCCCGATGCTGAGGCTATGACTGGATTTGAATGATTTCATTTAATCCTCCTTGCAAGACAGATACTGTTATTGCTTATAATTTACTGATGAGAACACTCGAGTTCACAGAAATCAGAGTCTTAGAAACTGACCTCAAACATGAGTTTGTTTGCACTGGAGTCCTGGACTCTCACCCACCCCAGATCCCTCAGGGAGCTGGTATAACAGACTGGCAAGGTGCAGACCTGGGCATCAGACCAACCACTTCAAATCCTGCTTTGAGCACTTATTACCTGCTCTGCACGTAGGCGAGTGAGCTCATCACTCTGGGCCTCTCTTTCCTGATTTACTCAATGGGGCAACCCTAGTACCCTGCCCCTATGGTGGATCATGGTGACAAAAGATTACGCTGCTCAGGAGGATTTCTCATTACTTTTCTCTTTGTTGTGAACTGCCAATTGTGCTTCTAGCCCCTGTCAGCACGTATAGGCTGTTGACATGGAATGAGTCAGAGACCTTACTTTTCTGCTGAGTTAATGGGCTATTTCCATTGTGCGAGAGCTGAGAGAGGGTGGTGGTGGTGCTGGGGAAGAACTCTGATTGTTCTGACTCTCTGGAACCAGTCATGCCTGAAAGTGTATTTCTAAATTCTCCCACAGCTGAACCAAAAAATTCACTTCTAGCTTAAAATTGTTTTGAGTTTTATTTTTTTCAACTCTATGGCATCTAGAGCAACATACTACTTCCTGGGAATGGGGTTAGGGGTAGGGAACGAGAGAAAGAGAAAGAGAGATTCCCCCCTGGTAAATGCTCTACAAGTGTTAGCTTGTACATAATGAATACTGTGTTGCAGGGCCTGAACTGGGCACTAGGGAATCAGAGGTAAACAAGACTTGGTTCCAGCCTTTGGGATTCTCAGAGGCTGTGAAGGAGACAGAAGTTAACAGAGAGATGTGAAACACTGTAACACGATCAGGTACTAGGTCCTGTGGCAATACTGGATAACCAGTTGTCTGGAGGGGAGTGGCAGGGTGGGTGAGTTGAGAAAAGGTTCCAGGTGACACGAGTCCAGCAGGGGTCTCCAATGATGGGTGGATATTTGTGCTGGACACAGTGGATGTAGCAGACACTCTCAGTGCCGCACCACCTATGCCTCCCAGAGGTCACCTCCAGCTTCAGTGGACAGTCCTGGACAAACCCAGGGCTTCCTATCTTAAGCATGTCCTGGGCACAGGCATACACTCAGCCCATGCACAAGTTGGACCAGAATGTCAGGGAGGCAACATCAGGATTAGGATCCTCCCTTTTTCAAAATAATATTTTAAGAGCATAGAATTACAAAGCAAACTAATTGCATTAAGATAGTTATTAGGGGGCTGGGGATGTGGCTCAAGTGGTAGCACGCTCGCCTGGCATGCGTGCGGCCCGGGTTCAATCCTCAGCACCGCATACAAACAAAGATGTTGTGTCCGCCGAAAACTAAAAAATAAATATTAAAATTCTCTAAAAAAAAAAAGCTTAAAAAATTTTAAAAAAAGATAGTTATTAGGATAGTTAAAATAATTGTGATACATACATATTTAAATTAATGTACCAAGTGACATGATCCAAAAACAGGTCTAGTAATTATTGTGATTTGAAGCAATGATAGGAGTTAAAGTTATTTTAGGACGCTGCTATAAAGGGATATGAAAACATTTCTAAATTATATTGAGATAAAGGTCATAAGCACTCCTATTATTACTGATTCCAATTAGTGAAAATAAAGGCATATGTTTTTTTTTCTTCCAAGTTCATGGATCTCAAAGACCGTAATATAAAGCACTTGCCTTATTTTTGATTTTTGTTCCTTTTGTGACTCTGTTAGAAATGACATATAAATAGCCTAAAAATTGCTTTTGAAAGCCTCTGTCTTTTGATTAGATACTCAATCCATTTATACTTACTGCAATTATTGATTTATTTTGGACTTCCCCTGCCACCTCATTTACACTGTATGACAGTTGGAATTGGGTGTGACTTATATTACTGAAAACTGTAAATGAGAGAGGTTTAAGTCAGAGGTCATTTTGTTTCTCTTTTCTCTAGGACCTACATATAGTGACTCCACGGTCCTCAGGGATCCAGTTTGCATATTCTTAGCTTCCTTCCTCCAGTTCACCTCAGGTCCAAGATGGCTATTGGTGCTTTACACCTTTACAGACTCAATCCAAGCAGCAGAAAGAAAAAATGACGGGAGGGTACCATGGGGGACCCCTTCCACCATTTCATCAGCTAGGACTTAGTTACATGGTTTCATCTAGTAGTTAAGAAACCTGGAAATGTTTTCTTTTGGTTGGGTATATGGATGACCTTCATAAAATGAGGATCCTGACTCAGGAAGGAGAGGATGGTGGACATTGGGTGTCTATTAGCAGTCTTAGTCCCCCCACCATAGCTGAGACCCAAATGACAAGAACAGGGACTCTAAGCCTTCAATATGGTATCCGATCACAAGAGGACCAGCCTGCCACCTGCTGGTAGGCTGGCTATCCTGTGTTCCTTTCATTATGAAGGTTGTAGAGGCTCATCCTCTCGGGGAATAGACATTAATTCTAGCTCTGGGCTCTGCATTCTCTGCCTACCTACCATGCTTGTGCCAGTGACATCACAGGTAGATTTACTGAACCTCTTGTTGACAATCATGGGTAGTTCAAACACCATTGCTTTCTGGTCAGAACCTCATTTTTCCTTTCAGCAAAAGAAGTAAAGAAATTGCCAGGGGAGCATGAGACTCATTGGCCTTATCACCAGAGCCATCTGGTTTTAGAGGTTGGTGACATGACCTATTGGGACTTGGTTAGTGTCAGCTAGAAGTCATCAACTTTGTGAATCTGAAATGAAGGATTTGACCCATACTGTCAACCGTCAGCCACTGTGGAGGCAATGCTTCTCTTTCGGAGAGTCCACGGATCAGGGAATCTTGGGCCGGATAACTGTCGCGAGGGGGCAAAATTGCGACGTATGCAATGGAGGGGAGAAATAAAGAATGTCCACGCGCTCCTGCCCCTTTCAATGCTTTATTCACTCAAATTACTCAATACAATTTCACTCTCTAGGTTCTTAATCAAAATGACAGTCCTTAATGCTAGGCACTGCAAAAGACAATCAATTCACAGCAAACAATTCTAGATTAATTCTAAGCCCTGCAAAACACACTTGATCATGACAGGCTAATGACAGACATTGCCTCTGTATGCTAAATTCAAAAGTCTTAAGCCTTAGGCTCTAAGTCCAGCAGATGCACAGTCACTCAGACCGCGGTGACCAGGTTTGGAACCAAGGCAGGCTTTCCCTGGCATGGAGTGGAAGACCGGCTGAGGAGAGGGTCGTAGGGAGAAGTTGCGGCTCTTACCAAGGTTCAGACGAGGTGGTAGAGTTTGAGAGCGGTGAGGATCAAGCAGAGGCTCAGGAACGATGGGGTGTCAGTGACGGGGTGTCAGGTCCTCATCAGGCTCTCCAGCTCAAGTGCATCCTTGTTCCGCTGGCTGAATCCCTGTTCATTTGCTCTGTCATTTTATTTGCTCTATCATTTATACTAAATTTTGGGCCTTTTGACACCTCTTTCATCATTTACCCTGGGGTCAGAAACATCTGGT